TTTTTTTAGCCTTCAGGGAGCGTTCAAGTATTACGTCACGCAATTTTTGAAACCCCCCATGTAACGCGCTGTAACGTTTTTCTGTACCCAAGTACAGTACTGTAAACAAGTATAGTAACCTAGTGACTTTTATACCTAAGAGTTACCATTATATGGTGTACAGCACTGGAAAGTCGAAAATAATATTAACAATACGTTACGTTAACGTTTCACAAAAGGACTCCCCCCAAATTCGTTACGTAACACTTGAACGCTCCCTCATCTGTTTTTACTTTTGAAAACCTCGTAACTTTGTACACATAAACACAGAAAACCTAATATGTCATTTAACTGGTATAATCTAATGAAGTAATGGATTTGTTAATAACATAAATAAGTCCTTTTTACCATCTAAAACTATGGACAAAAACACATAATAATATTTTAACGAACATTGACGATATGACAAAAAATTTTCGTTTCCTGTAATGTTTGGTTTTCTGGACATACGAGGTTATCATTCTACAGCGACGATATGTCACTTATATTACATTATTTAAAGGCCGGCGACGCACTCGCGTGCCGGCATTGAGGGTCCATGAGTGGCGGTATCACTTAATATCGGCCTCTTCGTTTTCCTCATGTGATAAAAAATATATTTACCTTTAAAGTTATATTCTTAAGTAACGTGTCCTCCAAGACAGCTTGAAGCTTCTTATTAATCTCAAGGGAGAGCTCGAGAGTGATTCCGTTCGGATCTCCCCCCCCCACACAGCCGCCATTGCGCCCCCGCCGAGACGCGCTATCTCTTTCTAACAGAATTTCACCACTTATAGGAAATAATAGGAAAACCAGTTAAAATAAAAATGACAGTAAAGTGGTACCTCGATATATGGTTCGTTCAAGTATTACGTAAGCATTATAGGGGGCGGGGGGGGAGGGGTGTCTTTGATATTCTTACGCAATCAACCAAGCGTCAACAGTAATTATTTACTTTATGACACATATTACCCACACTATCTATGCTTGAAAACGAAATGCATTTTCGAAGATTCCTACAAAAAATTAAAACGTGTATGTACTTTTAAAGAAAAAACTTTTTACCCGGATTAAAGTTATGTATTATTATAAATTTACAATTATTAAACATAATTTTAAATTTATCCGACGTTTCGCGTGGGGAAAGGAGCCAAAAGAGGACACCGTGAGCCATTTTTGCCAAAACCCTCCATCTTTTAGTCGATACCAACTCTGGGGAAATAAATACAGATAATGGAACTTTCTCTACAGCTGTGATACTTCTTGACATCCAACACCTTTTGTCTTCAGTCACCGTGACCACGCACGCTGTAAAGCACGCGAAACGTCGGATAAATTTAAAATTATGTTAAATAATTGTAAATTTATAATAATACATAACTTTAATCCGGTTAAAAAGATTTTTCTTTAAATGTGTAAAGGTTATGTCAATCGACGTGTATGTACTATTGACAAGAGGTGACAATGGTGGTGTTCCCTTCGAAGCATTTTTGATAAGTTGGGTTCGCATATTTAGCTTTTTGTATTTACAAAACATTATCACATTTATTTTACAACCATTGGTCCGCGGATGTCTATTGAATTAAAGCGTGAAATCATTTTCTTATTTAAAAACAACTGAGTTAGTGTTTTGTGTGCTGGAACTTGGAAAGATACGGAACGAATTAAACTAGTATGTCGAGGTACCGCATATATGTATGACAAAGAACTGCAAATTAAAAAAATATAAACAATTTTTTAAGAGACAAGAACAAGAGACTAATTATAACCAAAAACAAAGTGCTTGGAGATTCTAGCGCGACATACTTTTCTCGGCCGGCGGTTGAAACTTGAAATTGGTACTACCGTCGCCATTTTGAAATGTCAAACTGACATTGTTAGTTAGCTCTCACATATACCAACATCTAATGAAAATCCAACTAAAATATATTTATTTTTATTCCTTGCATTATTAACTACAATGTTAAAGTTTTAATTATCGAACGGTTCTGATTGATACATAAGTATCTTAAAAGATATTATATTAATAGTACAGTTAACAAAACCTATCATATCAGTAGTTCCTATGTTTGTGTGACATTTATTTAAGCCTAGAACTGTATTTTCTAGATACTAGTAAACATTATTACAACGTTTCAATAAGTTATAAAGTTAGCCTGCATCAAATTATTGCCCTTATAATGGTTAATTTTTGTTTACTGGCAATACTAATATCCATGACAGCTTACCGGCCAAGAAAAGTATGTGGCACTGTACATCAATATCACCACAGAACACCACAAATACTACTACAAGTAACAACATAGACGTGAGCGTCTCGTTCTTGGGGGTCTGATGGGTTAATAGGCTATTTGACAAGATTTAAACAATCTCAGAATTATTAATGATAATTGAAACTACACAATATATGTTAAGGTTAAAAATTCAAATTAAACATCAATAACCCGTTAGACAAGATGGCGTCGCACAAGTCTCTATGACATAATAAAAACAAACTTATTTTACGTGTTAATTAATACTTGAATTACACAAATACATATGTTTAATTCAATAACAGTAACGACAAAATTAGACTCCAAAACATTATTATTCGTATTAGATTTGCCAAAGCTTGCTATGTCATAATTGATTCGACTAATCTGTGATCATTTTGTGTCAAGTGACTGACTTTTGATAAATTAAAGACTCTTTACAGTGTTATTTCCCTAACGCTTTATACAGGTATTCGATAACACATTTTGTCAAATAACCTTTAAATTAAAACCCGCGCTTCAGAGGCAGAGGCACTGTCATAGAGAGTGATACTGAGAATGTAAGTGCGTGGTCCTATTTCACCATGCCTACTGCTGATAGAGGACAAATTTTTGGTTTTTATTATTAATTAACTATTAATTACTTAATGATGATATGTGGAACATGGTTGCAGCACCTAACAAACATTTTGTAAAACAAAAAAATTGCGATCAAAAACAGTGGCGGAGAGTTTATTGCCAGTTCTTCTCGTCCGTTCTACGCCCTTAATTTGAGAACTGGCAATAAATATAAAATTAGAAGCATTTAATATGTATTTCTTTATTGACGTTTATAAGTGTACATTGTGTTACCTAAATTAATAAATGATTTTGAATTTGAATAGCAAACATAAACTACAATGCGTCAGGCACAGAAGACCGATTACCTGAACAGAAACAGAATGTTCCCCTAACGGGACTAATATAAATTAATAAATTATATATATATACCTTGGTTAGCTTCCGTATAAGCTAGCATGTAAATTGACAAAATTAGCATAAAAGCAGTCTAAGCTAGGATCGTGCTAAGCTCTTTCACCTCCAACTCAAAAACGATACCATATTACAAATTCTACTGGAATATATCGGAGCGTCCATACAAATGTCCATCATTAATATTATAAATTAGTTTAATAAGGTCAATACGCAAAAGATTTGTTGATTTCAAAAATCTCACCGTCATATATCCCTGATTAGGCTACTTTTATATCCAACATACAGTGGATTTCGCGTATAACGACGATGATGTTGCGATGGGCGTGTTGTTCCCACAAGAATGTAAGTGCATGCTCCGATTTCACCATGCCTGCTAGTGATTGAGGACAAATCTTTGTTTTTAATTTATATTATTTATTACTTAAGATGTCATGTGGAACATGGTTGCAGCTCCTTACAAACGTTGTGTAAAACAAAAATCTTGGCAATTAAAAGTGGCGGAGAGTTTTTTGCCAGTTCTTCTCTTCCGTTCTACGCCTTTGATTTGAATTTTGAGAACTGGTAATAAATGTAAAATTTGAAGCATTTAATGTATATTTCTTTTTTGACGTTCATAAGTGTACATTGTGTTACTTATATGATTAAATGATTTTTGACTTTGACTTAAAGACTGATTGCGCGTCCAGCAGCGATACTTATTCAAAAGTTTACATTACCCTGTTGCTACTCAGAATATCACTTTGAAACTGACATGTTGTCATGTGCATCATGTAATGGTTACAGCTCCTTACAAACATTTTGTAAAACAAAAATCTTGGCGATTAAAAGTGGCGGAGAGTTTATTGCCAGTTCTTTTCGTCCGTTCTACGCCCTTGATTTGAGAACTGGCAGTAAATGTAAAATTAGAAGCATTTCATTTATATTTCTGTTTTGATGTTCATAAGTGTACATTGTGTTACCTAAATGGATAAATGATTTTCGAATTCATCCAAAAACAATCGATACATCCCAAGTCGCTGTAGCTACATGAATTTTGTACTAAAGTGCTTTAAATTCAAAGGACTTAGATTTAACGTTGTAATAGCTAAATCGCTCGCAAGGTCGTAATAAATGAAATCCACTGTATATGTTGCATAATTTCATTAATTGAATTTACATGACACACCTGTAGCTAACAAAAATATTAATCGTGACGCGATTTAATATCAAAATTAAACACCTATACTCTGATTTTTAATTGTGTAGAATTCTGACAGCTATCATTTTTTGACATGTCAGAGATGACAAACCTTTTTGGCCGGGCACATTTATCAATTTTAATACGAGTCTGAACATCTGAGTCTATACATACATTTTATTAGTTAGTGAATGTATCCATTTTTTTAAGTGCGGTGCTCCACATTAAAAGTGGTTTTACGGGGAGTGATAATTACGTCCCAAACAGTAAAAAAACATTTTATTTCTTTAAAAAGGTTTACTAAACCTGGAATTGGCAGTGATGCCAGCTAAATAATAAAATAAAGTAATTAAAGTTAATTCGATATATTGTTCGTGATATTGAACTATTTGCTATTTTTGTATTATTAGTATTTTATTTTTTATTGCCCTCAAATGGGTCAAATTGGTCCCTTTTTCGGCGGAGAACTTTTTTAGTAGCAACACTTATGAAATGTCAGAATTCTACGGAGTGAAAAATCTGAGCATAGCAACTTTCATCTAGCGACGTCGCTGCAATTTGATTTTTTTTTCACATTATCAGAACAATATAACGCTTGGTGCCTGAGCTACACCACAGCAATACTTCGAGAAAAGCAATAAACCAGTTAACAAGAACATTCTTACCTTATTTTTATCACTGTTCTGTGAGGTGACAGCTCCAGCGGGCATAGACGCAAGAAGGTGTCGCAACAAGCGGGATTTCCCCCGCAATTCGTTGGTCAACTGCTTCGAATGCTCTTCCAGGAACTCGCATCTTTCAGCACGTCTTGCTGCCGCTCTTTGGAGTTGGACTATTCGTTCTATTAGGGCTTGTCTATCTGGTTCTCTGGTCTAAAAATTGTTGGGTAAGATCATGGCTAAAATAAATTACCATCAATCTGAGAGATAAGCAAAAAAATTGGACAGGCTCATCAGATGTTGAATACACATTGAATATTGCCAGAATATTTGCGAGTGTGTTGCAGGGATTTTAAATTTTAACCGGGCGGGATGCTCATCTGATGTATCACTCATGCCAGAATTCTCGCGAGTGCGTTGCCCACTTTTTATTGGTACTATCTTACCTTTATCTATGCTAAGGTTCTTTGAAAATGCCCAATTGAACGACATATATTCAAGACTTTCCAAGTCCGAACAACTATGAATGCGGACAAAGGTAGACCCGACATGTCTAGCAAAGGATCACGCAAGTTGACAAAACTAATAACTAAAGGTGCGCTTACACGAGGGCAATAATTGCTCGGCAACACGAATGGACCGATCTGGAGCAATTAATGGAGCAATTTCAATAAATTCAATAAATTGCAATAAATTATTTCGGCGATATTGCTTCTAATTGCTCCAGATATTTCATATCGCTCAATGTCGCAGATACGAATTGACGAATATCCAATGGACTTGGAAATTCCTAGCAATTTTTGTATATGTCTCATTCGCACTTGTTTGTTTTGCGGCTTGCCGTCTTGCTTCCGCGAGGAGAGGTCTAAATAATAATAATTTCTAATTACTTTATTCAAAAGTAATTCAAAGTCTGTTCGTGACATTCTAGTAAAGTTTTTGAATAATATATCATCTTTACATAATGAAAATTTTGTCCTATTTGCCAAAAACTATCGCACCCAGATACGCCTATTCCTTTTCTTTCTTTTTTGTTTTTGATTAATGATAAAAAAAGCGCTACAAACCGCCGCAGCAAGAACAATGTCGTCCATAGCGAGCGAAAACTGAAATGCTCGTGTATGACAGTATTGCCTAGTTGATGAAGTTGCGCCATATCGCTCAATATTGTATTGCGCAGTATTGATGCTTGTTGCCGTTGCCGTAAATTGCTTGATGTAGTCGTGACGTCATAATTGACGAGTATTGACTGGAATTGAGCAATTTTAGTTGCCCGTGTAAGCGCACCTTAATAACTGTTGCGGGTAATAATATATTTATATTTTATTATAACAATAGTAAAAAGTCCTACTGATAACAACAGTTCCCGATAATGCATTAAATTGGCTAGAATATTAATAATTAACTACATACAAATTTAACAAAGTTTACCCGGAAATGTTAGTATTGCCGAACAAGAATTATTACAGTTCTTATAAAAAATGAGGGTAGAAGGGTAAAAATATTTCAATATCACAAAAAGATGAATGTGTCAAAAGAAAGGGGCATCCTTATCACTTAGAAGTTTACGACCTATTCACAAACCTACCGAATACCAAAAATTCGGTCAAGCCGTTTCGAAGGACTTTAATTAACAACAGAAGCCCAAGAATTTTAAAGATTTTTTGCTACATTTACCTAAATTTTATTCTATAACACTACATACTTTACTTCACATTGAAAATGTTTACCTTTGGAAATATCTTTTCAATGAAACCGCACTTTATCTGTAAATTTATGAAATCTTACCGTTGGTGATCGAGTTTCCTGAATGCAAAAATGAAAAAGAATAATTTTGCTTATTTCTGGGAACCCAACTGGGAAACAATATGCCAAAAGATTGATTGAGGTTTTGAATACTTCCAAAAACGGGGTATATCAGTTACAATTTAAACAAACTATTGTAACAAGATTATAATGATTCGTTACCTGTATTTCTGGTAAGTCAGTTTGGTGTCCATTGTGTAACTTCTCTTCGGGGCCTTCACCGCTGCTTAGTGACGTCACGGAGCCTAAAAAAGCATACACTCAATGACATGATATACTTAATTTACACCCACACTTTAATATATTCTTGTAACGCGATAGACTCGGGCCGTAAACAATATGAGCTTCTAAAAGCGTATGGCCCGGTCTATGAAGGGTTGGAGTGTTGAGTATCGTCACAAATAATGGGCGTGGAGCCACAATCGTGAGTGCCACATAACCCTCCCGCACTAAGCAGACGCGCCGGGGTATGTGCAATGCATTTCCCCAAATAAAAACAACAATAGGATTATACGACCAAGACGCGTATGCGCAACGTACAGACACACGGCTATAATGCGAAGTCACACCAAGCCGTTATACGTTTGCGAGTACGATAGCCAAACGTACTTTCTGCTGCTCGGCTTTGCAAAAATTGCGTAACGATCCGGATATTTTAATATGAATGACAAAGAAGACGCCCTAGACCATCGTTTCTCAACCGGGGCAACGCGACCCTTTGGGTCGAGTTTCTTTTAAAAGGGGGTCGCAGTCTGTTGAAAAATAATAAATACAAACTATACATAGGTACAAAAGATTCGTTTATCAAAGGAATGAATAATTAACAGTGTTATAAAATTAAATTATAACTTTAGTGACAGGTTTTTGTAGGTCGCGACATAAAAATAGTTGAGAAACGCCCTAGAGAAATATATGTTTACGAAATTACAATAAATGACGGTACAATTAAAAACAATTTTGTTTTACGTTGAATTTATAAATTAGTAAGAGTTTTTTTTTTCTTTTACCGATCTGCAATCAACCTCTTGGCTTTTATGATATAATTGTGAGGCAATTAGAGAATGCAAATCCAATAATTTATTTTCCATCCGTAACTCGTAAACTATCAAACTGCGGCAAGTCTCGCCCTTCAAAGCCGAAACAAGCAGTCCGCCGTTTCCAAGAGGCCCCAAGGTAGCTGAAGTATCCTTTTGTATAGCTCGGTTGATCTTTTAATGTCTTCCTCGACAGTGATAATTTCGTAATATGAACTTCAGTATTTCGTGTTAACCAGGGCGCACCGTTAATATTTCGGAGTGTTTTGTAGCCGGAGTCGGATTTCGATATTAGAGCGGCTTGCTGTCTGCTGTATCCCATAAGAGCATATTGGTTTTGACATTTTTATAAATGAGGAGTTTATTCTCCACTGAGTGCAGTTTTTCTACCTAATAGCCAGTTACGAAGCTTATTATTAATATGCTCTTTGTAATAATTGCAATTCAATTCAGTTTAATTCGTTCCTGAGGTCGTAGGTTCGATCCCCGGCTGGGCACCAATGGACTTTCTATGTGCGCGTTTAACATTCGCTCGAGAAAATATTTTGAGGAAACCGGCTTGCCTTAGACCAAAAAATTCAACGGCGAGTGTTAGGCACAGGAGGCTGTCTTGTCTTGTATATTAGATTGACATATCATGAAACAGACACATAAATCTGAGGTCCAGACCTAAACATGTTGTAGCGCCAATGTTTTTTTTTTGGAATACAGTGTAAACTCTTTATAACGCCGTTTGTTATGACGGACACTCTCTATAACGCAAAAAAGATGTTCGTCTTTGTTATTGTTAATTGCATTAACACGTGTGCATTATTCTTAGATTACATTGCATGTCATAGCAAAACACGTCAAGCATAGATAACAGAATATGGGTTTAAAATAATTTACCTATTGATAGTAATAAAATTATAAATTACTAGCTGACCGGGCAAACGTCGTTTTGCCATATATATCATTTATAATAAAAAAATAGGTGTTGATCGTAGAGGGGTGAAAATTAGGGGTTGTATGAATTTTTTAATGCTGTATCATAAAAAAAACAGAAAAAAATATCTAAAAATTAAAAAAAATATATTTAGGAGTGGACTACCCTCAACATTTAGGGGGATGAAAAATAGATGTTGTCCGATTCTCTGACATACCCAATATGCACACAAAATTTCATGAGAATCGGTCGAGCCGTTTCGGAGGAGTATGGCAACGAAAACTGTGACACGAGAATTTTATATATTAGATTGTAATTAGTTAAATTTAGGTTTTTTTCGTCATCAGAGCTTTGGTTGCCCCAAAACTCAAACCCCAAGTGATATAGTTGATGTACCACATCTATCAAAATTCTACTGATCAGCACTTACCAGTTCTAGTAGAAGTAGTATCACCATTTTGCGGTAACTTGGCTTCCAGTTGTTCGATGCGTTTCAACGCACGCTGGAGTTCTCGATTCAACTCCTGTTAAATCAATGCAATTTTAATTTAATTAGGAAATTGATAACTTTTACAGAGAGACTGAAATGTTGAATTGGAAAGCCTCTTCAAAGATCATAACCCCAATGAAAATAAACCGAACCTACCTTCACAGCACTGGCATGTTTCTTCTTCAAGACACCAACTTCTCCCTTCTCCCACTCCAACTTCTTGTTAGCTTCTGCGGCTTCTGTCGTCAATTCAGCCACCTGTCCAAGAAGATCATCATTAAATATAGATATTTAAGTCAAAATTGCTTAAAATTTGTGTGTACTTATATACACGCGTTAGAAGTTATACTTTGGCGTAACAAGATAAAAATCTTTTCACAAATTTTATTCTACGTTTGTAGAAAAAACCATACCTAACAATAGAAAAACCTAAAATATTGACTATAGCTATCTTCAGGGTGTCGGTTTCTTGTGACGGTGTACTGGTGTCGGTTTCTTGCGACGGTATGCGGGTGTCGGTTTCTTGTGACGGTGTGCGGGTGTCGTTTTTTTGTGTCGGTGTCGGTTTTTTGTGACGGTGTCGGTTTTTTGTGACGGTATGGGGGTGTTGGTTTTTGTGACGATGTGCGGGTGTTGGTTTTTTGTGTCGGTTTCTTGTGATGGTGTACGAGTGTCGGTTGTTTGTGACGATGTGCGGTTGTTGGTTTTTTGTGATGGTGTGTCGGTGTCGGTTTTTTGTGACGGTGTGCGGGTGTCGGTTTTTTGTGACGGTGTGCGCGCGTATCGTAAAAATTAACTCTCATCATTTTTCCCTAACGCGCCAAAAGAAGTATAACTTCAATAAAAACTCACTTTTCTAGCTAAAACCCTGGTCTCCTTATTCCTCCTCTCCATTTCATCATTCAACGATATTTGCAGTGAAGAAATCTCCGCTTCCAAGAACGTTACACGCTCACGAAGCGACGAATTATCCGCTGACAATGCTTGCGCCTGAAAAAATACATTCATCATTAATTTTGAAAAACAAATTGTTCAGTAAAAAAAACATCATTCTCAACCAGTCCTATGCTCCAAAAGTATTCTTCTTTTGCAACAGTAATTTTAGGATATAATGTAATGTAAAATTGTTTTTTTTTTGACAATTCACACCAATTGACCTAGTCCCATGCTAAGCTGGTGAAGCTTGTGTTATGGGTACTATGCAACGGATATACATACATATTATAGATAGATAGACATATAAATACACATTTAAACGCCCAAGACCAAATGCTCATCACATCGATGTTCGTCTCAGCCGGGGATCGAACCCGGGACCCATGGATTCGTAGTCAGTGGTACTAACCACTAGACCAATGAGTCGTCGAATATAAGCTACTTCACTTTCTCTTTTAACTATACATCCTTTTTTGAAGTAAAACTTCTTTAGGGAAACGTCACGTAGATGTGCAGCGTTTTTGTCAAAGAAAAGGGAGAAAGCGATTGAGACCGATTGAGAGAGTGAGAGGGGAGAATTACCTTATAGAAATTATATTTTTAAAATTAAAATTACGTAGAGAATTTATGAAATATTAGTATTTTATGCAAAATAATTTATTGAAATCTCAAATGATGAATTGTAAATTAAAATGGAATAGAAATAAATTTGAAAAAAAAATATTATTTGTATTGATTTTCGACACTTAATATGACAATTAAATTCCTAACATATCTTCCTTTTTCCCTCCCTCTAAGTCGCGGAAATCTAAAGTTTTAGATTTGTATAAATATGAACAAGACTTAAAAATTCGTTTCACTTCAGACATGTGTACTTTGTATGCACGCACTTTCTTATGTTCATCAAGGACTAATTGTCGAAATAATTTTTCAAATTCCTCCAGTATTTGGAGCAATGCTATCACTAATAATAATAAGGAATTTAATGAAATATAGTCACTGTTCACTTCTGTTCAACAGACCGTTCATTCCTAATGGATCTTTAAGATAAAATAATTGAATGAATCTCAAATGAAGAATTGTAAACGAAAATGGAATAGAAATAAATTTGAAAAAAAAATATTATTTGTATTGATTTTCGACACTTAATATGACAATTAAATTCCTAACATATCTTCCTTTTTCCCTCCCTCTAAGTCTCGGAAATCTAAAGTTTTAGATTTGTATAAATATGAACAAGACTTAAAAATTCGTTTCACTTCAGACATGTGTACTTTGTATGCACGCACTTTCTTATGTTCATCAAGGACTAATTGTCGAAATAATTTTTCAAATTCCTCCAGTATTTGGAGCAATGCTATCACTAATAATAATAAGGAATTTAATGAAATATAGTCACTGTTCACTTCTGTTCAACAGACCGTTCATTCCTAATGGATCTTTAAGATAAAATAATTGAATGAATTTCAAATGAAGAATTGTAAACGAAAATGGAATAGAAATAAATTTGAAAAAAAATATTATTTGTATTGATTTTCGACACTTAATATGACAATTAAATTCCTAAGATATCTTCCTTTTTCCCTCCCTCTAAGTCTCGGAAATCTAAAGTTTTAGATTTGTATAAATATGAACAAGAGTTAAAAATTAGTTTGCCAAAGAAGTTTCACTTCTGACATGTGTACTTTGTACGCACGCACTTTTTTTACTTGTGTATTACAAACATTGGAATACTTCGGTAAAAATAAAAAAATGTTGGTCCAGAGATTGATTTGATCCAGTTCAAATATTTATGGCTGCCTTACAAACAATTTGTATGACTCAAAACTTGGCGATTAAAAAGAGTGGCGGAGAGTTTCTTGCCAATTCTTCTTGCCCTTGACTTGCGAACTGGTAGTAAATGTAAATTTAGAATCACTTCTAACATCTCTTCTGTTGACGTTCATAAGTGTATTTTTTGATGTGAAACATCTATAGGCTCACTTGTAAACAGAATTGTTGGCGTGGCGACTCTTGCCGTGGCGACGGGTCGCCACGCTATACTAAGATATACATATTAGGTTGGGGAAAAAGTCTCTTCGCATTATACTATGTATGAACATGTAATAAAATCTCTTTGGCTATACTATATGTATTTGCCTGTTTTGATGTGAAAACTGAAACATCTATAGCCGTACGTAAAACCGATTTCTGGCGGGGCGACGCATGCTGTGGCGACGCCACGCTATATGATGGTACATATAGCGTGGCAGTAGTCTATATGCAGTAGTGTGTACGGTGTGTGTATTTCGAAGTCACTGATTAAACGAATTAAGTAGTCACGATTTGAAATAAATTCGTAAATTTTTGTATTTAAATGAAAATAAATGTTTATTCAATAAATAGTCATCGTTATCTGGAAAAAAATCGTAATATTTTATTTTATCATTATGACATATTTAGTTCCTATCACAATCTGTTTTTTTACAAAATAATGTCGATGTTTCACATCTGCCAGGCGTCCCGTGACGGCTCACATTTTTTTTCCCTATAATAAAGTTATTTTGAGTTGAAGTGATTCTCATACTGTGCTAAAACTTGGACTGTGCGAGCTTCTGAAAAGAAGAAAATAGATGCCCTCAAGACGTGGTGTTGGAGACACTGGATTACCTTAGCTTCATGTTCGGACGCGCGTGCCCGTTCAGCTACATGTGTCGCCGTGAGCTTCGCGGCGTGTTCGAGGGCTGCCGCTTCACGACGTACGCACGTCTCGGACCGCGCCCTTTCCAACGCTAATGACGTTTCAGCTTGGTTCCGGAGTTCGGTTTCCCTGAAATAAAGCCAAGTTTTTGAAGTTTGGCCTTTTGGCCTGTACCAGTGGTAAGTGTAACGTAAGAACAGTCATTCCCTTACTTTCTCATGTTAAATATCTTAAGTAAATATATTTAAATTACTTTTTGAAGTTATACTTCTTTAGGCGCGTTATGAAAAATTGATGAGAGTGAAATTTTACGATGCGCGCGCACCGTGACTCAAAATTAACAGAATGAAGTTGCCCACGGACGATGGTACGGCATTGGACATAACTTAAAACAACATTCGAATAATAATAGAATTTATCACTTAATGTAAGAGAATAATAATAATAAATATATTTTATTTTACAAATGTAAACTTTATTGACTATAATGACTCCTTTTCCAGTCTTTGATTATTTAATTGTAATTAATTATTTGCTTGCAATCAAAAACTATTTTTAATAATGCCAAAGAAGTATAGCTTCTTACGCGCGTACATAAGTACACGTAGCCATTTTGTAGTCTTAAGTTAGGCTAATACTCTGATTTTTTTTCCGTAGAATTCTGACATTTCATAAGTGTTGCTACTAAAAAAGTTCTACACCGAAAAAGGGACAAATTTAACCCATTTGAGGGCAATAAAAAAATGCTACGTATTTTTTATGTTTTACCTACAAAAAGGTAAATCTTAATATTTACTTACTCCATCTAATACAAAAATAACAAATATTTCAATATCACGAACAATATATCGAATTAACTTTAATTACTTTATTTTATTCTTTAGCTGACATCACTGCCTACTAATTTAAGGTTTAGTAAACCTTTTTAAAAATAAAATGGTGTCTTTACTTGTGCGTTTTTTACTGTTTGTGATGAAAAGGAACGTAATTACCACTCGCCGTAAAACCACTTCCTATAAAGTTAACGATTATCTAGTTGATAAAAGGGCCTGGGACTAGTGCTAGACAGGCTACTTCTAATTAATTTGCGATATTTGTTTTAAAATAAGCGTTGTTTGATGATTTGCTATTTTAAAAGAGTACCGAGAGTTTTTTACGCCCGCTTTTTCTCTCGGCCTACACCCTCTGTCTTCTTTGCCAATGAGTAGGGATGCCTAATAATGTAATGACGTGGAATAAGTGATACATGTATCTTATGTTCCATAATAAACATATTTTATTTGTTTGTACATATATTGAGGTTAAAGCTATAAGCGAGGAACATTCAAACTTGATGTCATAGTAAAAATTTTATAAAATGGATCTCGGGATGAAATTACACTAACACAAAACAACAATAAAATATTAAAAATAAATTACTGTCGCTACAACCTTTTTAGGTCTAGGCCTCAGATTTCTGTACCTGTTTCATGATATGTCAATCTAATAAGTGGGTGATCGGCCTCATGTGCCTGACACATGTGGACGTTTTGGGTCTAATGCAAGCCGATTTCCTCACGATGTTTTCCTTCACCGTTGGAGCGAATGTTAAAATAACCATATAATATAAACTTTAATTTAAAAAAATATAAATAGTGACTGTGTGTACACATCATATGTCACTAAAAAAGAGATTTTCTGTCAGAAAACTTCAAAATTAAAAAAAAAGAGAATATTATTGGATATTAATTCGAAAACTAATTTATCTGTGTGATAAGGTTCCAGCGCATTAACAATTTGCGGAGATAATTCTAACCTTTGCAATTGTGAGCTAAGCGTATCGGCCAGCGCCGCCTGAGCCCTCAAAGCTGCCAACTCAGCAGCCTCCTCTTCGAGACTCCTGGCGTGTGCCTTCACTCTTTCTAACTGAAAAAAGATATTTCCAACATGAAATTAAAAAGCTGGAGATTTATATGCCCAAATCAACAATATAATAATTATCTATTATTATTGAAGTGAAACTTCTTTATCGAGGTTGGAAAAAAATTTAGTGTAACATTTTTTCGTTACGCGTCACATATTTCGGTTACGCGCCATGTTGCTTTTTGAAGTCAAACTTCTTTATCGGCGTAGGAATGAAACTTCTTTATCGACGTATGGGAGAAATTTTGTAGCAAATCGTCACGGTCTTCAATGATAGTAATAATTCTATTACAATTAATGAAATTCTATAATAATCTTCGTAGTAATAAGGTAAAATGAAATATTTGTATTCATGTCTATGATAATAAAAGCCTTTTGTTAAACTTTATCTAATTTAACGAATTTCTGTAAAGTTGCATATAGTAGATCATTTTTCGAAAAAAAAAGGATCAAAAGAAGTTTCACTTCTTACGTGTGTACACCTAGTACACGCACAATTTATCTTTAAATATTAAAGGTTTGTTGGGTCAAAAGGCTAAGCAACACTCACAAATACGATCTATACGTAAAAATCGTAATATTAACTACACGCAAGTCGAGTCAGCAGTCCTACTTGTCGACTATTTGAGTAAAGTATACAATACATTCGAATTTACGATAAAAAATATTCGTGTTTAATAAATGCTTGCCAAAGCAAAATATTGCGGTGCTGATGCCAGTTTTATTGTTAGATGTTAGTTGTAACAAGATAAAAATCTTTTGTAGAAAAAACGACACTAACAATAGAAAAAAGGTATTTAATACATTGAAATTATTATAACGCATTATCTAGTTAAATAAAGTTTATTTAAGGATCACCAAAAAACTTCTACATAATTAAAGAAATGGACATATTTTATTTTGAAATGTTGACTATGCTAACTTCAGGGTGTCGGTTTTTGAAGTTATACTTCTTTAGGCGCGTTATGAAAAATTTATGAGAGTGAAATTTTACGATGCGCGCACCGTGACACAAAATTATCAGTATGGGCGCCGAGCGTGCGCGAGCGAGATGGGAATAAAACAATCTACAAGTAAAAAGAAATAGAATATGCGTGAAGTTCGTATGCCAAGAATTTTGAATGACCATAATGACATTTGTAGTATCTTTTAAACAAATAAAGGAGTTTTAATTATTTTTTCAAAGAAATTAAGCAATGCTTTTTCACAAAGACCTATTGTTACTTAGTTAAAAGGTTATGAAACATACGAAGTTATTAAATTGAATAAATAATATAATTAAATAATAAATAATAATAATTATTATTATTATTAGTATTAATTAATAATTGATTAATGTACTAAATATTAAATTATTAACATTAAATATTTATTATTATTATTATTATACACGCACCACTTTTTTTTGTGACGGCGTGCACGCGCATCGTAGAAATTTACTTTCATCATTTTTCCCTAACGCGCCAAAAGAAGTATAATATCAAAAATCAAAATAAATAGAAATTAGCATTTTTATACTTAATTGTCAATACCTCAGCCTGTGCGAGAGAGAGTGCATTAGTCACCTCGTCCCTTTCCCCCTTACAAGTCTCCAACTGCTGTAGAGCTGTAGTCAGTCTTTTGTCCAGGTCTTCCTTCTCATGCTTACATAGTATAAGTGTCGCTTGGGTTTCTTTTAATTCACTTTCTAGAAGTAACAATATTGTAATAAAACTTAAGAGATCAGAGGCCATTGCAGGTAATATGTTGCGGTAACGTTCCTAAAGGTGCGCTTACACGAGGGTAATAATTTCTCGGCGACACGAATGGACCGATCTGGAGCAATTAATGGAGCAATTTCAATAAATTCAATAAATTGCAATAAATTATTTCGACGATATTGCTTCTAATTGCTCCAGATATTTCATATCGCTCAATGCCGCAGATACGAATTGACGAATATCCAATGGACTTGGAAATTCCTAGCAATTTTTGTATAAGTCTCATTCGCACTTGTTTGTTTTGCGGCTTGCCGTCTTGCTTCCGCGGGGAAGCGAGAGGTCTAAATAATAATAATTTATAATTACTTTATTCAAAAGTAATTCAAAGTCTGTTCGTGACATTCTAGTAAAGTTTTTGAATAATATATCATCTTTACATAATGATAATTTGGTCCTCTTTGCCAAAAACGATCGCAGCCAGATACGCCTATTCCTTCTCTTTCTTTTTTGTTTTTGATTAATGATAAAAAAAGCGCTACAAGCCGCCGCAGCAAGAACAATGTCGTCCATAGCGAGCGAAAACTGAAATGCTCGTGTATGACAGTATTGCCTAGTTGATGAAGTTGCGCCATATCGCTCAATATTGTATTGCGCAGTATTGATGCTTGTTGCCGATGCCGTAAATTGCTTGATGTAGTCGTGACGTCATAATTGACGAGTATTGACTGGAATTGAGCAATTTTAGTTGCCCGTGTAAGCGCACCTTAAGTCGTATTGATTCGGAATAGCTTCGATAGCGGTGACAGTGGCGCGAGTATTCTTTAATGGTGAAGTATGTCTTAAATTGGCTAGATGAGACATACTGAAAGGGGCTAAAAGTGTCTTGAAGTGGCGAACATTTTCGTGCATTGACAGTCTTAAAGGGGCGAACAATGTCTGAAAGGGACGACAATTTTTAAAGGAGCGAACAATGTATGAAAGGGGCCAACAATGTCTGAAAGGGGCCAACAATATCTGAAAGAGGCGAACGATGTCTGAAAAGTGCAAACACACGACGACAAGTCTTAAAGAGGCGAACATTTTCATAAATTGATAAAAACTGTCTTAAAGGGGCGAAATATGTCTTAGAGGAACGACAAGTTTAAAAGGGGCGAACATTGTCTGAAAGGAACGAAAAGTGTCAATTAAAGGGGCGAGAAGGAATAGAGAACGACTTAAATGGAGAATAATATCATTAAAGGGCGAATAATGTCTAAACGAGTTCTTCATTGTATTAATAAACGCTCAGTTGTGAAACAGAAACAAAAACTTACCCAATTGCCTAGCCTTCAAAGAGTCTGCGGAGTTCAAAACAGCTGCTTCCTTCGCCGCTTCTAACTCAGTGAGTTGTTGTGCGAGTTTATCCGCCCGCTCGGTACTTTCCTGTTAGTTGCCAAATAATAAAATAGTTCTTTTTAAAGTTCTGTAAGATTTATAAACTTTTGACGACTCATTGGTCTAGTGGTTAGTACCCCTGACTACGAATCCATGGGTCCCGGGTTCGATCCCCGGCTGAGACGAACATCGATGAGCATTTGGTGTTGGGCTTAGGTCTTGGGTGTTTAAATATGTATTTATATGTCTATCTATCTATAATATGTATGTATATCCGTTGCCTAGTACCCATAACACAAGCTTCACCAACTTAGCATGGAACTTGGTCAATTGGTGTGAATTGTCTTTAAAAAAAAATACATATTTTTATGCATTTTGTTCCCACGAGAATGTAAGTGCTTCTATTTCACCATGCCTCCTGCTGATAGAGGACAAATCTTTGTTTTAATTTTTTATTATTATTAATTACTTAAGATGTCATGTGGAACATGGTGTAATGGTTGCAGCTCCTTACAAACAATGTGTAAAACAAAAAACTTGGCGATTAAAAAGAGTGGCGAAGAGTTTATTGCCAGTTCTTCTCTTCCCTTCGCCCATGATTTAAGAACTGGCAGTAAATGTAAAATTAGAAGCATTTAATATGTATTCCTTTATTGACGTTCATAAGTGTACATTGTGTTACCTAAATGATTTTTTTTTTTTTACTTCTTTGGTCTAGGCTTTAGATTCTGTATCTTTGTACAAATATTTTTTGAAGTTATACTTCTTTAGGCGCGTTATGAAAAATTTATGAGAGTGAAATTTTACGATGCGCGCGCACCTGTGACACAAAATTCGGAGTGTGATTATAGCGTGCGCGAGCGAGATAGGAATAAGACAATCTACAAGTAAAAAGAAATAGAATATGCGTGAAGTTCGTATGCCAAGAATTTTGAATGACCATAATGACATTTGTCATTTACCTTTTAAACAAATAAAGGAGTTTTGATTAATTTTTCAAAGAAATTTATTAATTTTATATTGTGCAATACTGCCAAAGCTACAACATACTTCTTAGTGTTTGGTAGAGATGTTCTAAATATATAATTATATATACTTTTAACTAAATAGAATTTATGTTACACTTAATGTAAGAGAATAATAATAAATAATTATTTATTTAATTTTTCAAATGTAAACTGAACTTAATTGACTATAATGACTCCTTTTCCAGTCTTTGATTATTTAATTGTAATTAATTATTTGCATGCAATCAAAAACTATTTTTAATAATGCCAAAGAAGTATAACTTCTTACGCGCGTACATAAGTACACGCACCCTTTTTTTTTTTAATTCTAATAGCCTTTTGTGCGTTAAATACACATTTCTTAAGCACACATTAGGGTGCACAACCCACCTCAGAGTGAATCGTAAGCTCTACTAGGTGACTAGGCCAACACGCCTCTAATAATATAAAGCTAAATTTTTTGGCTACCCTCAGGAATATTACTAATTGAAAAATAATTTTCCAGATACATAGACTGCTAGAACCCACATAAAACCATGGTAGCTATCATGGTAGCTTATAAAAATAAATAAATAAATCAGTGGCGCTACCTTTTTTTAGGTCTGGGCCTCAGATTTTTGTATATGTTACATGATCATTTTTTATCATTCAGCAAGATACACAGATAATAGGTGGACCTTAAAGACAACTGTATGGAAAGGACCAAGAGGAAGAAGGAGAAGAGGTCGCCCAAAAAAAAGGTGGATAGAAGAAATAGAAGCGGTAGCAGGAAACGAATGGAGAAAGAGAGCCATAGACAGAGTCAGTTGGAAAAAGCTGGAGGAGGCCTTTACCCGTAAAGGGGTTCCGATCGACGGTACTGAAGGAAGCTAGAATATAGAATAACAAGCATAAGAAAAAAAAATTATAAAAATGTAAAATAATCTAAGCTGTGTATAATAATTTGTTTTTTTTTGTCATAATTGGAAATAAAACGGGCTTTATTATTATTATTACATGATCATTTACCAATCTAATAGGCAAGTAGGTCAGTCTCCTGAACCGGACACACGCCGTCGACTTTTCCGAGAGAATGTTAAATGCGCACTTAGAAAGTTCATTGGTGCATAACCGGGGATCGAACCTACGACCTCAGGGATGAGAGTCACACGCTGAAGACACTAGGCCAACACTACTCTACCTTATAAGCGTCCATTTCTACCCGCAACTTGCTCTGGGTCCACTTCAGTCTACCCTCCAACTCTTTAAAATCCTCACGCACTTTAGCCAATTCCCGTTCTGTATTCGATACTTCGTGACACTGAAAAATAACTTAATTTTTAGCGGAAATTACAATTTTTCCCTCAACATTTAATTGTGTTTTTAAATTTACCCAAAAGAAGTGGGTAGGTAAGGTTAGGTTAGGCGCTAAATATGGCTCAGTAAATGTGTGTTCGAGTTGTAAGGTGATCATGAGTACTCACAGTATAATATTTATCTTATGACAGATGGAAGGTCAATAAAAGTAATTTTAAGGGATCGGTGGAATTTGGGTGGTCTTTAGATTATTTATTTACTTCAGTTTATATTAATTCATTTCGTACTCCTACAGCTAATTTATATATATAACAAAAAACATAGCCAAATACATCTAATATATAAAAATTCTCGTGTCACTATGTCCGTTCCCATACTCCTCCGAAACGGCTCGACCGATTCTTATGATTTTTTTTTATGCATATTTAGAAAGTCTGAGAATCGGCTACTCTCTATCTTTGAAACCCCTAAGTGATAAGGGGTCCACCCAAATATTTATTATTTTATTTTTTCTATTTTTTTTTCTGATACCTACAGCATACAAAAATATATAGAACCCCTATCATTCCTCTACGATCAACCCCTATTTTTATTATTGTAGATAGTTATTTTTATTGAACTGAAACAATTTTTCCTAGAAATAATATTAAATATACATGGCAAAACAAACGTTTGCCGGGTCAGCTAGTATTATTATAATTTTAGAGTGGCGTGGCGAGTCCCAAGACCCCAAGTGTTTTACTTAACTTTTTGGCTTTTTCGTGGGTTGCGACATAAAAATGGTTGAGAATCGATGCTATATAGGATTAGTGATCAGGGCCCGCCAGCCAAGCAGATTTACTGCAATTTATCCCCCCTCCTCTTGTCAGAAAAAGTAAGCAAAGCTATCAAAAATAATAGTACATAAACGTATTAATGTTTGGTTGGAATCCACGAAAATTCAATTCGTTCTAAGCATAGACAATGGGAACAAAAGTAAATAATTACTGTTGACGTAATCACCAAATAATACTTGAAAGGCCCCTCTCTATTAAAACTTTGTAAAATTTACATAATTTAATTGCGTTTTAGACAAATTTTGAAATAACAACATCGACTGGACCTTCTGGAATGTGATGCATAGGACGACAGAAGAAAGAATAAGTGACTTTATAGAACTAGCGGGGAAAAACTAAATGATTTAATCTCGCAGGTAAATGAAATGTGAAGAGGATTTTACCCTAAAAGAGGCCATACAATGACAAATACTAGAACACTAACATACTAATCTTCATTTATATAAATTGTACTAGTTAATATAAGAGACAAGACAAAAGTAATAGACATTACCTCCAAAATAAGAAGACTTAAATGTCGATGGACTAGACATATGATAAGAGAAAAAGACACGAAAATTGTGGTATAAAAACACGATGGTACCCTAGGGAAGGCAAAAGAAGTAGAGGAAGACCACAAAAAGGAAGGGTAGACATCAGACAAGCGGCAGGAGTGATGTGGAACAGAGTGACCCAAGAAAGATACGAATGGAAAGGGTTGGAGAAGGCCTTTGCCGACCGGCAGATCTGCAGAAATCAAGCAAGATCAAACTATTAGAATAGTTTTTTTTTACAACCTTCTAATATCTAGTTCAATATTGTTCCCACGAGAATGTAAGCGCGTGCTCCTATTTCACCATGCCTCCTGCTGATAGAGGACAAATCTTTGTTTTTAATTTATTCTATTATTATTTATTACTTAAGATGTCATGTGGAACATGGTGTAACGGTTGCAGCTCCTTACAAACTGAACTGAACGACTAATATATCTATATTACTTAGAACTGAGCCACACGATCGCCGTCACGTCATCTTAAACTCGGCCCGAAATAATCTCGTTTTCGGGTACCCGGTGACGGCGGCGGAGGACAAACGGCCTTAGGGATTTCGTCGTTAAATCGAAGGACGTTACATGGAGTTAAGACTGTATTTAAATAAATCATTTAATTCATATTCGAATATTGGAACACATCCTGTATTCGAATTTGAATTCTCGTCAAGAACAGGTTTCTTGCATTGGCTAACTGAGGAGCGACAATGTTTCAATTGGTTTATTACGTTGTTCGTGCACTTTTGATGGTTTAATGGTAAAAATGTTATATTGTATAGTATGTCACTGGGCTTAGTATGTAATAAGTTAATTATTTAAATATGTTCGACGACCTGGTGTACAGAAAAACTGTGTCCAGTTTGTGTTTACACCACACCAACTTCTTTCTATTTAAGATCATGTATATAATAAATAAATAGCAATTAACGATACCTTATCATCATACATCTGACAAATCCTTTGTTTCTCATCTCTTGCGGTCTTCAGTTTATTAAAAAGTAGGTCTTTCTCAGCAATGGCTGCCTTTTCAGCTTTGACAGCATTTTCTGCTGACTTTTTCGCATCTATAACTGAACATTCAAGGCTGGCGTAGCGCATAACTGCCGCGTCTTTTTCGCGTTGAGCTTGCTCTGTACGTTTTGACATCTGAAAATTAGTATCAAACGGAGCGTTCAAGTATTACGTAACGCAATTTTTGGAGATTATTGACCCCCCCATGTAACTCGCCGTAACGTTTTTCAGTACCCAAGTATAGTAAACGTTTCGTGACCACCTAGAGACTCTTTAGTTACTATTATGTGGTGTAAGTCGAAAAAAATACTAACAATAACGCGTAATTTAATCCTCGCCCCGCATCGTAACGTTTTACAAAAGGTCCCCCCACTCCCAAAATTCGTTACGTAATACTTGAACGCTCCCAAACAAGCTATAGTAGAATTTGTGTGTATGCCTAAAGAATACAAGAAAATGTGATCAGAAATTTAACACACATACACATAAATTATATTAGAACACTAGCAGACCGGCCAAGCGTTGCTGTGACTAAGGTTTTAGTTATATTACATAGTAGTAACCTATTCAAGGGAAACGGTAGGAGAACACCAGTCATGGGGACCACCATGCTTTTTGGTGGTTATGCCATTAAATTATAGCTTATGTGAAACGTTGGTACTTTCAACACAGCGCCATCTGTTAGAATTGTGACTATCAAATAATAAACAAATATTTTGCAATAAAATAATATTGCGGATATGAATTGAGATGTAAGCTATCATATCTTTTAAGTTAGATCAAATCGGACACGGTGTGCAAATTTGATTGAAATTGGTTCAGTAGTTTAGGAGTCCATGGCGGACAAACAACGTGACACATAATTTATATATATTAAGATAAGTAATCTATCAAAGGAAAAAACTAAAACAAACAAACACAAAATAAAAACTAAATATTAAAAATTAATAATTACTAATACTAAAAAGATAAAAAATTAAATAAAACTAAACTAAACGAAAACTTAATCCTCATTAAGAGCATGATCAACAAAGTTACGGTAACTTGGCAGACTGTCGTAAAACACATCAATATTTTCATCAATGTTAGTAATCAAGTTGTAAGAGCGAGACAGCCAATTCATTGGACCATTCAAAGAAGCAGATAGGCGAGCCGTAGGTATGTATAGAAGACTTTTAGTTCAAGTAACTCTAGGATTACAAAAAAAGGATAATTGTGAAACCTTTTGGGGTTCATGCTATAAGGAACACAAACATAAAATATACAAACATAGTGGGTAAAGATGCAATTCTCAAGGGGTAGGACATGCTCTGGTGGTGTGCTATGCATGTCTCACAAATGAGTATATTCTTAGTATGCACATGTACAGTCAAGAAAGACATTGTAAGGAACTGCTAAAAGCGTAAATAATTATGATTATTACAGTATTTTCACTATAACATTATTATTAATCATCATGTAAACTATTTATTACACTTATTACAATCTAAATCTTTAATATAAAAAAATTGAATTGTTCACTTAAGAAACTCTTACTCACTCTCTTGCAAAATGATAGGTTTATAGGACACAGTAAGTCACTTTTTAAAACATATAATGAAAAACTGAAATTCTAATTCTAAATAATTTTAATAAATTGTAGAAAAGAGGGGCTCCCCTTAACAATCAAATTGCCAGGCAGTTTGTCTCAAATTTAGTTTTATTCATTAATTATATCTAGGTCTTAGAAGATTGAGTCTCATAATTGTTAAGGATTATTAGATAAAAGAGCTATTTTCTTGGCAGAGAAGAAAATCAGTAAAATTCTTACCAGGTCAACTTTGACTTCTAGCTCCTTAAATGACTGGTCCTTGGCCTGTAATTCTTCCATTTGCCTTTTGACCTTTTCTCTCAAAGATATGTTATCTTTTCTTTGTTCAGCTAAAACCCTCTCTAATGATTCAATTTGGAGTTTACTGAAGTCTTTATTAATGTCACCATCCGGTTCTAGTGGTTTTGGAATCTCAGGTACATTTGGGATTTCATTAGTATCAAGCATTGGCAATTTCTCCACCCCATCTTCAAAAATATCACTTAATAATTTTGTATTAACTGGTTTTACTATTTTAGTTGGTTTTTGGACCACCCGTTGATTGTTGTATGCACTTTTTAAACTGCCCGAAACAGATGAAAATATACCATGAACATTTCTCACAATACTACCAATGTCTTGTGATAGTATCTCCTTTGGCAGTCTACTTTTTAAATCTACGTGTGGCTGGGTATCTGGTATAATTTTCTGGGTTGCTGCTACTTTTCGCTTTTGATTATCAAATTGTGTGAGAATTTCTTCAGTATTTAGAGCATCCGTACTTGAAATAATTTCAGCTTCTATTAAGTTTGTCAAATTTTCTGCACTTCTACTTAACATATCTATATTACATTTTTCTACAGGTACATTTAGACTAGTGGTTGACTTTTTAAGGTCAATGGAAGACTCCGGTATGTCGGTTATATTGCTCACAGATGCAGATAAGGACTTGTTTTCTGTTAAAGAAACTGATATGTCATTGATTCTTCCCTCCTCTAATGAGAGATTGTCAGTATCACGACGTTGATACTGACAATCTCTCATTAGCACAACGCCACAACTGTGTTCGGCATTTGAGTATCCATTCTGTATACTATCAGATCTTATGGATTCAAGAAGTGAAGAAGGTGAACTACTTTCGTTTGTAGAAAAGAGATCTTCACGAGTGCTTTCAACTTGAAATAAATCCGATTCGGGAATCTTTATATGCGATATATCTGATTCAGATGATGGAGGATATGTTACAGAGCATGACTCCAAAGTATCAACGCCGGAATCACTGGATAATTCATTTTCTTTTACTGCAGAGTTATCGTCGTCGATACCACCAATATGGACTGAACTTTCAATGATTTCCACCGACATTTTCTTTCTATGTAATGCTTTGTATATTAGGTAATCTTAAATATTTCTTTGGAAAGCACCGATGCCATTTGAAAAGCGAATTTAACACTATTTATTGCAGTAAAATAATAAACATTAGCTATCGAATCACCATAACAATTTTTTTGTTTTTGACATTAAAGATGACAGTGACAACGGTACTTAACTACCAGAGTGAATATTTCCGACAGACTATTATTTGTTGTATGTATTGACTGGCAGTTTTATACTGTCTTAAGTTACCATAGGTAACCTATAAAATAACATACTCTGGATAAAATACCGGAAGTAAACTTCAATATTGCCATTATAATGGTGATATTAACTGGAAACACTGGAAGTAGAGTTGTCATTTTAGTAATTTCATTTTCATTTCATTTCGTGAGCGAGTCAACGAGACAACCGAATTCAGTTTTTGGGGCCAAGGAAAAGTAGGTCGACAGTATTGATTTTTACTCAATCTACGACAAACAAAGACGTAACTTCGTCAGTGCGGTATCGAGCAGGGTGTGTGCATTGGACGAAGAAAAGCCTTCAAAATGCCCGTAAGTTATCTTATTCTTATCACGTGATATTCGTTAAAATATAGGATTTCGTAATTCACAGCCAATTGCATCAAAATTCCAATTGGAAAATTATTGCCTACGTACGCAAGTTTTTTCATGTTAATAATTTCCTCGTGAGTCATTTAATTATGTCAGGGTCATATAACTACGCATTAAGGCACGTGTAATTTTTCGTGGTTAGGATGCAGAGATGGGCGGGACAGTCGAGAACGTTCGGGTTGTGGTGCGCCTGCGCCCTATGGATCAGCGGGAAAAAATTGACGGCACCTACAATTGCGTGTCAGTTGATTCTGTAAACAACACCATAGCAGTCACACGGAGCAACGTTTCTCCGCCGGATCCGCCAAGGATTTACGCCTACGATGCCGTTTTCGATAGCAACACGAGTCAGGTATTATATTATGACGTAATTCAAGTATAACATCGCTTCTATTATTTCCATTTTAAGCGCAGTCATGGAAGTAATAGGTACATATACCTTTATGTTCTATTTTCATATAACAATTTTCTATGTGGGAATATTCCATTTAAACTCAATCGCCTTTTCAAGTCGTAAGTAACCTTGAAACATTATAGTTATAAAACAGTACTTGCAACACAATGTGTTTCTAATTTATCTATTATTACTTATTGTATTTGTGAATCATTTATAAAGCATTTTCATAAAATTCCTGCTTTTAGGTCACTCATTTTCCTGTTGGATTGTAATTAATAATAATTAATATCAATTTATTTAGTTATACATTTATAAGTGTCTTCATTGTTATTGATTGACGAGTGATTTGAAAAGAAAATCTTATTTGTCTTTATGATTGTCGTTTAGCTTTTAATATAAAACTCTGCAGTCTAGAACCAGGAAACAATTCTGCATTATCTGAGTGGTACTTATAATTTATTAGTGTTCTATATAATTACTATCTTATCTGCCATGAAAATGATAAGCATAGTACTAGGTATAAATTCTGTTGCCTAGTTAGTGTGAATTAAATCAAATTGCTAACATATTACTACTTTATGGAGAGTAATTGATGACATCTACTTTATGCTTATTTTTAACATCTATTATACGGCGCAAGAGCTTTATTCATGCAAAATATTTAATAGTAAATTCACTTGTTACAAAAAAAAAGTATCTTGTGAGTTTACATGATTTTATTATAATTTATTAGTTGTTTTAATAGTTTCAACAATTCAAATATTTTTTTAAAATATATATTAATTCTGTTACAGCGAATTCTGTTTTTAAAAGATTTCCTGAATTTAGTATTTTTAATGAATTTCTTACGTTTATAAGGATATAATTAATACTTCGAAATAAGAATAAATTAAGATAGTCATAACTACACATCAAACAAATTTGGATACTGCAATCTAAGAACTGTTTAAAGCTAGGTCAACTACTACTATATGAATCTATGGCACAAAGGCGATATTTGTGCATAATTTCTCATATTCTAGTTAATTTATTCTATTGTTCATGCCCTTCAGTAAGTACCAGTACCATTAGTCAAGCTCGTACCTACGTAACTGGCCTTGTTAGCGAGGCCATCCTATCAAGGCTTCATACTAACGAGTTGCGACCTTTTATTTTTCAACTAATGATCCCTTTACGTAACGATGGTATTAAACTATTATTAATTGAAGTTAGTAAGCCTAGTTTTGCACGTTGTAGACGGAATTTTCGGGTTCGGATTTTGACATACAAGAGCCATACTTAGCGCTACGCTTCGACTCTGAATTGTAGAGTATGGATTAGGGCGTAAAACATAAATTACTAAAATTGTATATAAAAGTAAATTTTGATTGTATATTGTGTTTTTTTTTTCATAAAACTGATTCTTTGTATAAAATTTGTATTTGTTAATTTTTTTATTGATACATCTTCAATCTTATAAAAGTCCAAGCCAGCAAGAAGACAACACAGAAGAAAGAAGACAAATTATGACCCGTCCACCATTCGTCCAGATTGGCGTGTTTTACCTCCGTCAGTCTTGTCGAATGGTGGGTAGGTTGTGGTTACAATCAACAGAGGAATTTCACCTATCAAATTTACTAGACTACCCTCAATTCAAAAAATTTTTTTTTTTTAATTTGGAACGGTAGCTTTGAGATGTAATTTATAATTTCATTGTTACAAAACTTTTGAGGGTAGTCACATTTTGTCGTCGGAAGTTACATACGCGATGTTCTATATGCATATTGCACGTCCTTTGACGGTGCATTGGGGCTCAGTGCTCATGTATCATGAATGTTGCGTTTACAATCGTCGAAGACTGAAGAGAAGACTGGATCTTTTGTTATCTATTATGTTACCAATAAGTATATTTGTGATTGATAACAATCTTATTTTAGTAAGACAAATGTGTAGGCTACAATGAACTTTATTATTTACTAGCCCATACGGTTTAAATGTAGTTCTGAAATATGTTTTATTCCTTTCCTACCCTCACCCATATAAAAATATGACAATGGTTCTAAAAACTGTCATTTGTCAAGTTTCTCTATGGTCAACGCAGAATAAATAAAATGTAAATTGCTTGATACTACAAATTTTGCACATAAGTCAATTGTCAAACTTCAAATCAAAGTTTCAGCGGCTACCTTAAATTTATCAGTTAATTCAGTGAATTAACTGATAATTTGAGCAGCAAGTGTTTGGTTATGAAAGTTCAGTTTTCTAAATATTGCAACCTTGGCTGTCGCTGTTAAAACTTAAAACTGCTAATGGAAAATCGATTGTTTCGTATTGTCAGACCCCGTTTTTCTGCATATTAAACTAGACAAAACATTTAACACCTAATGGCTGCATTTGTATATAATAAATTTCATTTATTTATTTCGTTATTCTATAGCTAACATAATAAAAGTGCGTGCGTACAAAGTACAGAGGTGAAACTTCTATGGCAAACAAATATTTGTCTTGTTCATATTTATACAAATCTAAAACTTGAGATTTCCGAGACTTAGAGGGAGGGAAAAAGGAAGATATGTTAGGAATTTAATGAATTTAATTGTCATTTAAATATTAATAGTGTCGAAAGTTAATACAAATAATAAATTAATTTCTTCGATTATAATACTTTGAGATTTCGTTCGATTTCGACACGTGGAATTTTAATCATTTGAGATTTCAGTAAATTATTTTGCATAAAACATAAAATACTAATATTTCATAAAATCTCTTTACAAAATTTTAATTTTAAAAATAAAATATTAGGCAATTCGCCCTTCTCACTCTCTCCCTTTTCTGCGCTTTTCTTCCCTTTAAAACGCTGCACATGTTCGTGACGTTTCATCCGTAAAAAAATTAACACTCAAGAGCCTAAAGAAGTTTCACTTCAAATCTTAATATATATATTTCTTCTGTGCGTGTGTATGTGACTGAACTCCTCTCAAACGACTGGACCGATTTTGATGAAATTTTTTGTGTGTGTTCAAGGGGATCTGGGAATGGTTTAGATTCACAAATCAGCGCGGCAGATGGCACTGCAGTCGGTACTTTCATACTTTGCTTAATATCCTAATCGCTTTAAATATCATGCAGGACAACGTCTGTGGGGTCCACTAGTATTATATATAACGTAACGTAACGAACAATCACACTAAAAATATAGCCAGATAATGAATATTTACCTTCAAAAAAGGTTCAAAAATTTACAAAAGGGAACAACCAAAAATTATTCAATACATTTAACTAAGAGACACCTAATTTGGCTGTGTTGTAAATTTTATTACTATTTCCTATAAACATTTCTTATTACATTAAAATAAAAGCTGCCTTACCCTCGAAAGTGAAAATTCTAAAACTAGATTTAGCCCTAAGGTGTCGTAGGTCAAAAATGTATTGGATTTTGACAGTCCTAGTTGGCGCCAAGTGTGACTTACGTATGTCAAAAACGTTTTTATATTTTTATTTAATACACTAACCCATTTTCCTGTCAATAAAATCTGTTTCAGAAACCGTAACTGGTATTAGTACTCTTAGGGAACGTTCAAGTATTACGTAACGAATTTTGGGGGGGTCCATTTGTAAAACGTTACGATGCGGGGCGGGGATTGAATTACGCGTTATTGTTAATATTATTTTCGACTTTCCAGTACTTTACACCACATAATGGTAACATTTAGGTATAAAGAGTCAATAATCTCCAAAAATTGAATGGCGTAATACTTGAACGCTCCTTTAATTGCAGACAAGGTTTAAAAACAAATAGTAATATTATTGTTGAATTCTCTTGTTTAAACATATATTTGTATATCACTGATATTAACATAGTCATATTGAGTAGTCTGTTCGGAAAGAACCGTCGTGGGACTTTAGGTCGCAGCAGTGATGTTCCACGATAATCAACTTGCTACTTATGAAAAATGAAAGTATACAATTTTTGTGATATTTTTAAGTTTTTGGCGCGCGCACCGTCACAAAAACCCGACACACTGAAGTTAGAATAGTCAACATTTTAAAATAATAAAAAAACGTGTGGCACTCGGGGACTGCCGCGGTAAAGCTATTGCATAGCATTTTTTATCAACTTATGCAGTTATAATTGTTTATTTATTTTTTATTTATCCAGTATTTGTTTTTCTTTGATATTATTTCAATCTACCACTCTACCAGACGCAGGCTAAAACGCGTACCGGCTGCACCGGCCGCGTTACGTCACCGATCTCGTCAGAGAGATGGGAATGCGCAGTATGCGTTCTATCCCACTCTAACGCGTAAGGTTTTTTTCGTTACGAAATTTCGCCGCGCTCAAAGCCCGCGATAAAATCTATGCAATAGCTTAAAAATGTCCATTTCTTTAATTATGCAGAAATATTTTTGTGATATTTAAGAATGATGAAAAGGGACGGTGTAATTTTATTTCATTTTTTACTTAAAAAAAACAAAAGGCTTTTTGACAACATTTTTTAGATTATAAATGACTATCGAATCTGTATAAATTTTTATTCTGTTAGATTGTCTATGAATATTCTAAATAAACCCGCCAAAACGTTTCTCTCCAAGATGGCGTCGCACCAGTCCTGTATAACATTTCTGTGTTGGGGGCCTCATAGCCTAGCGGTCTTATTAAGTGGCAGCTAGGTGAGGGGTACCGGGTTCGATTCCCGGTTCGAGGGCAAGTTTTAATTTAATTTAAATTTGTTCTCGGCCTTTGGGAGGGTTGTGCGGTACCGGGCGAGTGCTTAAACCGTACATGGAGGACACGGTCGAAGTTCTAAGCCAAGCACGAATTATAAAAAATCTTATACTTGACGCTGGCTAATGCACAAACCGTGCCAGAGCCATAAAAAAAAACTGTAAACGCGTAAACAAATGTCAAATGTTTTAGTGTGTAATATTTTTACGTAAATTTTATTAAAATAAAAGCCGCTTTACCACTTTCTGAAAATTCAAAAACATGATACAAATAAATTGTGCGTGTACTAGGTGTACACACGTAAGAAGTGAAACTTCTTTATGATCTTATTTTTCGAAAAATGATCTACTATATGCAACTTTACAGAAATTCGTTAAATTAGATAAAGTTTAACAAAAGGCTTTTATTATCATAGACATGAATACAAATATTTCATTTTACCTTATTACTACGAAGATTATTATAGAATTTCATTAATTGTAATAGAATTATTACTATCATTGAAAAACGTGACGATTTGCTACAAAATTTCTCCCATACATCGATAAAGAAGTTTCATTCCAACGCCGATAAAGAAGTTTGACTTCAAAAAGCAACATGGCGCGTAACCGAAAAATGTGACGCGTAGCGAAAAAAATGTTACACTAAATTTTTTTCCAACCTCGATAAAGAAGTTTCACTTCAAAAATATGTATTATATTTTGACAGTTATAGTTAACGCTAAGTGTTACGTAATGTAAGTTTAAGTATTAATATAAAAAGAAACCAGTGGCGCTACAACCTCTAGGTATTGGCCTAAGATTCCTTAATCTGTTTCATGATCATTTTTAAATCTAATAGGCAAATATGTGATCAGCCTCCAGTGACACACGCTGTCGACTTTTTGGGTCTAAGACATGTCGGTTTCCTCACGATGTTTTCCTTCACCGTTCGAGCGAATGTTAAATGCGCTCATCGAGAGTCCTTTGGTGCACAGCCGGTTAACCTACGATTTTAAGTATAAATACATTGTTAAATTATAACGATCGAAATCGCTCTCCGACGGATTTAAACTCGGCTAGACAGGCGATGACTAATCTGTCATCGCTTTGTTATAATTAATGATTTTTCCAAGTTATTTTACTCTGTTATACTTTAAAGCCCTGTTTTATACAGATTACTTTAATACCAGTATATTTTTCATACTTTCTAATAGCCTAGCCTATTTGATCATTTATGAATAAAGGGTTCAACATAAGTGCAGTGACGCAAACTCAAGTGTCACGATGTCCAGGGGTTTCAAACAATTTATTTTAAGTCCCGAACCCAACCAACAAACTAAACCAAATATAAACTTGCGTGGCTGTAACTAAATTATCAGAAAGTATTTATACTATACAAGATCAAAATTTTATACTATTTGAACGTATTTTTGATGCATATTAAAAAAAAAAGGGTGCGTGTACTTATGTACGCGCGTAAGTAGTTATACTTCTTTTGCATTATTAAAAATAGTTTGGCTTTGTTCCACCTCCAGTTTTTGATGTTTCACAGCGATAAGATAACAACTCTTTTTTTGTATTCAATTTAGTGCACTTACACTGATTCATCAATAGTTTTTTGT